AGGATTGCACCTGGGCATGGAGAGGCTGTCAGGGACCTGGCTGCTCCTGTGCAAGACGTGATCAGTACCTTCCTTCCTTCCCTTCCCTTCCCTTCCCTTCCCTTCCCTTCCCTTCCCTTCCCTTCCCTTCCCTTCCTTCCTTCCCTTCCCTTCCTTCCCTTCCCTTCCCTTCCCTTCCCTTCCCTTCCCTTCCCTTCCCTTCCCTTCCCTTCCCTTCCCTTCCCTTCCCTTCCCTTCCCTTCCCTTCCCTTCCCTTCCCTTCCCTTCCCTTCCCTTCCCTTCCCTTCCCTTCCCTTCCCTTCCCTTCCCTTCCCTTCCTTCCCTTCCCTTCCCTTCCCTTCCCTTCCCTTCCCTTCCCTTCCCTTCTTCATTTCTTCTTTTTTCATTTTCTTTCCTTTTTTCCTTTTTACCCTTTTTTTTGTATGCTACTTTTCTCTATTTCCTTCCTTCCTTCCTTCCTTCCTTCCTTCCTTCCTCACCCCTTTTTCCCTCCTTCTTCTTCTTTCTTTCTTTCCCACTATCTCTTTCCTTTCATTCTCTCCCTCCCCATTTATTTCTCTCTTTCTCTGACACCACATCACTGGGAGTGGAGCAAAATCAGGAAAAGATTCTGATTAAAGATCCATCATAAATTAATGAACAAAAGTGCAATCCTAGCACTTCATGCTAGAGTGGAACATTTTAAAAAATCATGAAGTGAAACATAAGAACACTAGAAAAGTTTGGATTGGGGTATAAAAATTATTTGGAAGACTGTGTGCTAATCAACAGCAAATGTGAGAATCAGTTAGGGTGATGGGGCAATGAATGACTTGTATTTTTTATATGGGAGTTTTTCAATCAGCATTTTCTGAACATGGTTTCTCATTATGATAATGATGATGGGATTAATTATCACCATGAGAACAAGTGATAATGGTACTTTGAACTGTATTTGTCACCATATGACACAGACTATTACTTGTTTTTACACTCTCCAGGATGTGTGTGCATTGAGAGGCGCTGACTTGCTCACCAAGCAATGGGCTAGCTGGCGAGGAGAAGTTGAAAAAGGACAAGAGCTCACCAGGCAGGAGGGCCGCCCTTTCACAGGGTTATCACCTGGTTGCCTCAAGGGAGCACCAGGAAAATAAGTGAAATTAGTCCTTGGGATATGCATTTAGCTGCAACAAATGGTTTAAGCATGCTGCTTAAGTGAAAATATCTGATTACCATCAAAGAAATCATAGTCTTACATAAATATCCCAAAGTCTCTTTGCAAAACAACTATCAAAAGTAAAAAAGTTGATTTTAGTCCATGCTGGAGAGGGAACATAAACTAATCACAGTGTAGCAGGCAAAGTGAGGCAAGCAAAGGTGACTACTTGGACCAAGTGCAGTTCTCACCAGTGGGAATAATTTTGTGAGTCTTGGACTGTTTTCCTGCTGCAGAAGCAGGGTGGTCATTAATAGAAAAAATGGTTTACTAGAGTAAAAGGTAGGTTAAGCACTGGAAATGTTTGGTTTTCCATCCTCGAACTACATCTGATGAATATTCTCGAGAAACATTTAAAGAGAAAATTAATACAGAGAGAGATACAGCAGGCCACTAAAAGTTATTGGGAATTAGAAATTCATGATGTGATCCTGTCTTTATATGGCATGTCCAGCTTCATAATTAAAATTAATTAAATCACAGTCATAACATGTGGATAATTCTGAAATGAGCTAATTTCTGATTCTCCTGCACATACCTGATGAGCTTACTGACATAAAATATTTGCTTTTTTATTTTTATTTTTATTTTTTTTTTCTACATGCAATTTCATTGTATAATGAGTATTTACCTGAGTTCCAGTAACCATCTTTTGTCTGAAGACCTTACCAGGACAATTAGTTTCCCATACAAATGTCTACTTCTTTATAGAAGAATGTACTCCTGAACTTCTTGCCTTGTAATTAAATTTATTCAAGGGACGCGTAGGCAGCTTCTAGTGCTATTTAGTATCTCTTACTATACTAACTAATTAACGTATAACTGACATACACGTACACAGCTTTCATAATGTTAGCCGATTAATAAGCAATAACTACCTCAGTAAATCAAAATTAAATGCCTACTTATGACAGGAAGTTTAGAACCTTCCTGCCTAGAGACTTTACATTGATTGATTCATTAAAGATTGCATTGTCATATGAAGATTAGTGAAAAAGGCCTCGTGAGCAGCTTTGCCTTTTGGTTTGTGCGTGATGTTTTACATCCGTGTTTCACCAAAGAAGTAAAAGCTCTACAGAGTGTCGGGGGTAAGCAATGGGATCTCCCCAGGTCAACCCTCTGCCAGGACCACTGGCTGTTGGCAGGGACGGGCTGTCCTCCAGGCACGACTGCAGGGAGAAAGAGATGCAAGAGCAACACATCACGGCTTGAATTTATGAGCCCATTTTGCAGATAATTAACGGTCCTGCTGGAACTGTCCAAAATCCTGCTGGAGATTTCATAAAAGGTACTGGAAGCTTGATTAGGGGGCGAGGAAATAAGTATCTCTAGGAAGCTGGAAGAAAAGAAGGGCAGCCTTCATTAGCAAAAGTAAATGCCACTGGAGGAGATGTTTAAGCAGTTCATTCTCAAGAAGATTTGTGAAGTCCTGCTTTTCCCATGGACCTCACAGTTGGCAGTGTCAGAATGATATGACAACCCTCAATTTCAGGTCACAGATGGAAGTTCAATAGAAGAAGCAGCATTCAAGCTATCCCTTTTAGTGTGAGGCTTCCCACTCCAGCTATACTACACTGTTCTGTCTACTTTCCTTATATTTAATAAAAAATATACTTGTTATTTGTCTTTTAAAAATATGTAGTTTTCTAGTACAATAAAACAACTCTCTAGAGAGATGTATTTATTCACTATTGTATTATTACTTAGCACTACTTTTCTCCCCAAATTCCAGACATAAAGCCAGCTTTACTGTGTAAGCATTACATTTGTAAGCTATTCCAATATTTCTCATATGATCCAAAGCACATTTTAGCTATTTTTTACTCATTAAATGCAAGCAGTCCTTGCACACAGTGCTGATTATGTGGAGATCCCTTGAATGACAAGGGCCAAACTGACAGGGCAATTAGTTCGCGGAGTTATAGGTGAGTAAAGGAAGGAAGACGAGGAAATGGGAAAGCAGATGGTTAGTATAACATCTTACTTCTGTACCATAGATGGGTTTATGCAGAAAATAAGAAGGAATTATAGCGATAGTATTATAGTTTTTTTTTTTTTCTTTTCTTTCAAATGTAACAAGTTATGAAATCTTTAAATGTTTTTATTGCTACGCTTTCTAATGCTGCTTTGACTTGGCATTTATGTTCAGTTTATGTTGCATATTTTTGGCTGGTGTTGAAAGCTATTCATTGTGAAATGGAGTAAAATCAGTGAAATACAGTGTGTAAGTTGCGTCTGAGGTTATGCTGAGCTTCTTATAGTAAAATGTTGTATAATAAAATGTATTGCCTCACGTTTACTTCTACATTAAGGAGTATTTGGCTGTAAAGGATGCTATTCTAAGGACAAGAATTTAACACAACAATTATTTTTCACTTTTCTGTTAAACTCTATTTCTTCTCACTGTATTAACCTGGAAAATATAAAGATATATCTTTGCTTTCCTTTAAACTTTTTCCAATCATTCCTTTTTAACTCATTCCTATAATGAGTTTTAAGCAACAACTCTGACAGCAAAACCTATGAGGGTTTTCAAATTCAATAACCAAGATTGGAAGGAAGGCATCCCTCATCTCAACTTTAGCTGAGTAACTGCAGATCCTTAACATTACCCTCTACACTGGAGGTCTTCAAAGTCATCAATCTGTTGGAAATATGCTGACAGCTCAGAGTGGTTCTGTAGTGTCTAAAATGTGCTGTGCTGCTCGAAGAGTTTAGTGTTCTTAGATCACTTTGAAAGAGATGACTTATGAGGCAAAAGGTTGAGCTTTCTGTTTCTGCAGCACCTTACATGTGCACTCGGTAGCACTGCTTATACTCCAACGTGCCATGCACCAGAGACCTGGGCTCCAGTGGAAATTGCATGATTCTGGTTAAGCTCTCAAAGGTCAGGCAAAGCTAAATGGGAAAATGAAAGTGCAAGCACACTGGTCACCAATAGAAAAACTGAAATAATTTTTAAGCATTTGTTGAATGTAAAGCTAGTTTCAAACCTGTGCATCCTTGTTCTGATCTCTGTACACCCCCAAGAACACCCCTGGTATTCTCATTTTCCCGATGTGGAAACAACAATTTTAGTTGGTGTAAAACAATTACTGTGTGGATTGTCTCCGAGTCTTGTATTGGCCTTTAATTTCCTCCTGAGCTGTTTTTTGCTAAGCTTACAGGGTACCCATAGAGCTACTGGGATTTCTTTAGCACGAAAAGGTTCCCTAAAGGTTTTTCAGTTGGATCATTATTATTATTATTATTATTATATTATTATTATTATTATTATTATTATTATTATTATTATTATTATTATTATTGTTGTTGTTGTTGTTATATTATTATTATTGTTATATTATTATTATTATTATTATTGTTATTATTATTAATTTTTTGTTTTTGTTGTTTTGCTAAAATAGTTTCTATCTGCACTTTTAATTACAGCTATTTCTTGTATAATATCACTTATTTTACTTACATCAAAGGAAATGTACAGTTGCTGAAAGTAGAGAGAATTAATATATTATGATTTTACATCTTCATGTGCTGGTGAATTAAAAGAAGTAGCAGGACATGTTCTATAAAAGCTTGTTATCTCCTGTTCTTTTGTGTTTCTAGCATACGGCATTGGTACCTCCGGGTACTTTCATTCCCAGCACAAGATACATTTTTTTTTTTTTTTTTGTATATGTCTCCTTATATGTGTGTTTTAGGTGAAGGCAATATTGCCTATTCTTCAAAGACTATTTGATTTAATAAGGAGTAGACCTCTGTTTTTCATCAAATAAAGTCTGTGACTTTGGTGTTCCTTGCCCAGGGAAGGCCGGTGTTCTGCAGCATCCTTTGGTGGTGCCGTCTGGTGGAGAAGGAGCTCGGGACAACTGCAAGAACCGACCCCTGTGAGCTTTCTGCCCGTGATAACCCCAGGTCAGTGCAGTTGCCAGTTTATAACTCAATCCCATGTCACAGTTGGCTGCTTGTCTGTGATTGAGTGAGGTGAAACCATCCTGCAGCAATATTTTGGCTCAAGGAGACACGTTGCTGCAGAAAGTTCCCATTTTCTACGTGTTATGGTAGAGGGTCATGCACTGAAGATTTTGGATGAGAAATGCTGGGAGATACGTGAGGGGAGCTGCTACAGAGCTGTTTTCCTAATGGAGTAGGGAATAGAAAGACCTGTCTGATGAGACAGACAGCATATGAGCTGTGTTAGCTGCTCCTTATCTCTAAATAAAGGTAAAATCCTCATGACCAAGGCCCAAGGTATAATCCTCATGACCAGAAATGCAGTTACAGGTTTTGAGAGTCTAGGGGCCCAAATGTCAAGGGCTCAAAGGTACCTCCACTGGTATTCAATACCCTATTGTGGAGAAACTGGCATACTAAGGAGAAATTCCTATAAGGGACTGTAAGGATATGTTGGGAAAAGGGCTAAATTACCACAGAGAAAGTTTTGCTTTCATTTACTGAGATATGCTTCTGCTGGGCTCCTTTTCTCCTAACACAGTGTTCATGTACTTTCTCATTGCATATATGCTTTTGCATATTGCATATTAATACTCTGCAGGTTCCCTGGGGAATGTATTGATTCTGGATAAGACTTGGAGATTAGTTTCCAGAGGAACCTCTGGCTATTTGAGCCTGCTTCTTTCTCCCTTCAGAATCGCCTGAGAGAGGGCTTGTACACATAGCTGGCAGCTGATCTTCATTAGCTTCACCTTCATTACAGCTCTTTAGATTATTTGTATGTGAAATTTTAGGCCTCATAATGTCACCAGCTAATTGTCAGTTTTAAGGGAATATTAGGATTCTTCATAAAAATGATGGTAAACAGGGTGGCAAATTCTTTTCATGTGAAAATTCAAACGTATTAGGGCTTGGAATTTAAATGCCTTTAGGAGACAAGATGAGGATTCAACATACAAATTTAAGGTTGTTCGCTTCTGAATATTACATTCATGGTGTTGATCTTCACTGTAATATATGATCATCTGCTCCTTTTCTGTCAATGTCATGTAATGATATTCACACTTAATTAAATCATTTTTTTTTAAGCTGAGAAAAAAAATATTTTTGTCTATACCTTTAAAAAACATAGGGAGAGAGAGCAAGATAAGTAATGCACTATCAATCTCAAAGTGTGCCATTTAGTCCTGGAACTGATTAATGTTTCCATTGAAATATATAAAGGGGACAGACACATCCTGATGCTTCTGACAATAAAGAGTAAAACTTGGAGTCTAAAGCCATGTGAGTCAGACACCCAAGCAGCATCAAAATGTAGTGGGAATTGTCTTTAAATCCCTTCATCTCCTTTTGAGATTTCTGCCTGATGAATGCCAACACATGCCAATAATGTTGGCAAAATACAATTATGTCTTATGTTCAAGAGTTAGCCCACGTATTTGGTTTTCCCCTTCACTCCTTTTTATTTTAACCCCTTGCCTTTGATGTCTTTGTTTCTGGTTTGTCTTTGGTCACCAAATGCCATTTTATTTCAAGTTCCCTCATGCCCTGCTCCACCAAGCCCAAGGATGCATTTTGGGCCAGGTTCTGACTGCCTTAGGTTTAAAGTCAGTTAAATTTCCTGTGTGTAAGATAGGCATGATTCTGTGTCCTTTGCATAAGGTCATATGGATGATGAGTGATTCTGATATGTTAATACTATTCTCCAGATCAGTGGATCTTCTCCACCAGAAGCTACAATGTGTAAGTGACACACTTGCACTGCAGGAATGCTGCTTCTGACCCCAAGTCTCCAGTGTATTTGTTGCTTTGCCGCAATACCTTTGGGCAAAGCCGTTCAACCGTATCACAAACAACTTGCTTTAAGACTGGAGCACATACTGTTTACTGTATAATCCTCTCTAATGCTCTTTTTTTTTATTTTTTCATTTTTTTTCTTTATTTTTTTTTCCTTGAGAAAAGATTAAAGAACAGAATTACATTGGAGCTGGTGGAGGCATGATCCATGCCCCCTTGATTATATGGAAACATTAAAATATCATCAGCATGTTAATTTTATCATCTGAACTGTATGAGATTTATTCATATCTCTTATCTATTACATTAGTCTGGAAATACAATTTATTCTGATGGTGGGAATGTCACATAGAGAGACCAAAAACATCTGGAGTTCTAAATATGAAACAAATTTTCTAGGATGTATATTGCCACTTTAAAATTAATTTTGCTAATAAGGAGACTAAAATTTCATAGCCTATTGATCTTTCAGAATAAGGCCCCAGCCCTTTATTGGGGCAAAACAGGTAGATCCTAGGAAGGTCCCTCTGAGGATTTGTAGTTCACATATCTTCTGTTACATATTTGAATATCAAATACAATAGATTATTTTAGCATCCTAATATAACATACACAACAGCAGACAAAACCCAGCCATCACAAACTACTAGGATTAATAAAAATCAATGAAAATTCTCCTAGAAAAACAACATATCTTAAGCATTTCCCGGGTCTGAATTGTTGGATTTTCTTTCTAAACATGTAAAATCAATATTAATTAAAACCAACCATAAAATACCCTAGCCCACTGAAAGACAGTTTTCATTAAAAAATATATGTTGTATTACAGAGGGTAGATTATCACTGCACCTTTTCAGCCATGGAGGAGAGTAGCATTTCTCCTCCGATTCCATACTTTTGGGGGTACTTGTGCTGGGAAGCCCATGGAAGCAAAAGACGTACCTGTAGCTCTGCGCCCGCCCGACTTGTTCCCATTCCCATTTTACTTGGAGCACAAAGGAAAAAGCAGAGTGGTGATCTCTAATTCACAATATGCCTTCCAGACTGCTCCAGGATTGCTGCATTTATGTGCTGCTTCCCCTGGAAGTTCCAGGCTAACCCATAGCAATAACTTGGTAATTGTTCTGGGAAGAGGCTCAGCACAGCTATCTTGTGCACAAGTAAACAGGCATCTATAAGATTAAGAATTATATGCTAGGGCTTTGACACAACCATCAGTTATGCCAGATGCAAATAATTTATTCTTTGTCAGTTCAAATATACAATCTTGTTTGGATGGCTTAAATTTATGCTGGCACCAAAATACAGCAAGCAATATTATTTAAGCGTGGTGTTGAAACCACAGATATGCATCTCGGATGACCCAAAAAGTGGAAGAAAAATGTTAGTTATATTTTCTGAGGGTAAGTCATCGTTATTATGTAATAACAGATGATGTAATAACTTATCCTTGTTGTGCAACGATATGACATCAGATGATGGGGGATGTATCCTGCCTTGACATACGCCCCAGCCAGGCATCCTGCAGTGCCATTGTGATGGCTCTTAACAGCAAAAGGGTTGCTTCGCATCTTGTTTAAAGGATAAAACAAGTGCCAGAATTTCAATAGATAGCCATACCTTTTTTCTTCTGTTTTGGTTTTACTTATTTCTGTTTGGAGTTTTGATAGCTGAAAATGTTGGCCTCCTTCCATTTTGGCTTTTGGATGCTGGAGATTGTAAACTGAAGTGACATATCCTATTTACTTTCAAAATGCAAAATATTGCTTATTTCATTTATTTATTTATTTATTTTCAAAGAAAAACATGTATAGAAAGAGCATGACAGAAGTTGAGGCAGTTGCTAGTGCAGAGCTGCAATTTGACCAGCTGGAGCTGGGTCAGGCATTTGGTTTGCACAGGAAGCAAAGAGGTTGCTCAGACGTCGCTTTGGTTTGCAAAACAAGAGAAAAGATTCAGCTCAGCGAAGATGTATGCAACCACTTAACTGTATGCCCAGTGAGCAGTCCAGTGTGTGAAGTTAAACATGAGCCTCCGCATCTTCGAGATTAAGGCCGTTTGCTTTAAATAGTACCATAAACATTTAGTTCGTGTTTGGTGAGACTGTCAAATAATTTGTTGCTGTGCCATCAGCTGAAAATTCGGCTCATTTTATAGGAGTTCAGCTTACATGAATTTACTGGACAACAGAATAAGTGAAATTTAAGACACACATCTTAAGCTGAGTTCATAACGGCCCACATTTCCAATAACAAAACTAGCAGTGACAGTGATATATGGCTTTTTTTATGAGACCTGATAACTGATGGATATGTGATCTTATAAATGCTTAGACAAACTAATGCACATAATTATATTTTCCATTTGAAGTCTATTGCTAGGCATTCTAATACAATATCATTAGTCGAAATGGCCACAATGATACAGCTTGGGCAGTTTGTCACAGTAATTACAGGGTGATTATTTTTGACTGGAATAAAGATTTCAGTTTTAGTATGGTAGAAAGCATAATCACAAATTAGAAACAGTCTCCGAATAAAAAAATATCATGGAGAGGGACTTTAAATATGGATTATAGTGCAATTCTAAAACAATTTCTTTAAAAAAGTGCACTCATTTGGCTGAATGTGTGACTTCTTTTAGGTTTATACCAAGTTCCTGCCCAAAAGGATGACACTTCCCTAATTAACAGTTCTAGTGTTTAAGGCTTTTGTAAGAAGGAAAATCTGGGCATTGTAGGGAAGGTTTGTCTTATAATTTACATAACTGCTAAAATAGGCTTTCTTTTTTCAATCGACAGAAAAATAGATCATTTGTCTTCACTGTTTTCAGGATGGTTGATTAAAGTAGACAGTGTCCTAACATCTGTATTGAAAACTATATTAATCAATTGATTAATCACGAGGCATTAATCAAAATCTTCCTTAAGTGTTTTACTTTTGGAGCAGCTCTTAGTATTTTCTATCAGATTCCTTTTAAGGTGTCCATTATAAAGATTAAATTTGGGTGGTAAATATTGAGGGGTTGAAGCACATGTGGCTTTCCACTTGAAGGTCACAGCCATTGCTCATTAGTGTTACTTTTAATGGGATAAGAAGCAAAAGTTTTTAATATGTGACTACATCAATTAATCAAATACACATTTGATTTCCTTTCCAGTAAGC